AGTGTATGTGCATGTGTGTGTGTGTGTATATATATATATATATATGTGTGTATATATGTGTGTGTGTGTACACATGTATGTGTACACGTGTGTGTGTGTGTGTGTTGTATGTGTGTGTGTGTTTATTTATACAACAGTATTGATCAACAAAACAACACCTCTACTAAGTCATAACTTGTATAGTTTGTTGTCCAGTTTATATTCGGAGTGTTGCATCTCGCATAGGTACTCTTCCGCTCGGCTATTCTAATTGCCTCCTCGCGATCTTGGCTTTTGAAGTCACTGATCGTCGCTGGTTTGCTGCCAGCTGCGTTCTTTCCCTTATCGACAACTTCATCGTTGGTGTCTTCCTGTGGGCTACGGACACGCTGTGTATCTAAATCTGACATTCTACACTACCTTTAATATTATCTATGTATGCGGACTAACTTTTATTACTAGCGCTCAGACTTAAGAGTATCTGCGTGCTTTAGGGTTTTTTCCAATGCTTTTCAAAAAGAATACCGCCGGATACCACCATGTACCAGACCCAATTTCATATTGGGAATAACTGATAGGCCAAACAGGGGGAAATGGAGTATTTAATGGGCTATGAAGGAACATTTTTTCATTGTTCTCACAAATTAATGTATTTTAGTACAATATCCTGTACGTTTTTGAATCATACGTACCGCTGTTCAGGCAATTCTTGGCCGTTTTGGCTGAAATTAAAACATGATTTGGGTTGAGTCCCAAATGGGTTCAAAAGGATAGTCAGAATCTTTAAATCGGATACCCAAAAGGTATGAAGGTACAAAGTACACCAAGAAAAAATTAACCTCGAAAAAAAAAATGGAAATTCGGGTAAAAATACTAAATTTTTATACAATAAGGGGCAGTACAGAAAATTGTACGATCCAAATATGCTTTTTAGGAAAATATATTTTGGCTATAGAAGTTTTCAATTGTCACCATAGTTGCTGGTATAAGCCGATTCAGAAAACCCTAAGCTACAACTTCCGCACAAAATAACCCGATTATGTTCGATAGCTCAAAAGTTATTTGGGACGAAAGTTAGTACAATATCATGTATTTTTTAAAAACAGATTTGTCCCAAGTACGATTGTACGCTGTTTGGAAATATAAATAACAAATCAACGTACATAAATAGATGCAGAGAAGCTAATAGATCAATTAGCAAACAATCGGACCATTGGGCAGCCCAAAATATCACACACATTTCAACAGCCACTGTATTGACCCATGGACCTCTAGAATATTGGAATGCCAATCAAAACAGATTCTATAAATATCAATGGAATTTGCTAAAAAGGAAATTTTTGGGCTAATTTGATTTGCTGATTTAATTTCGTACACTATGCTTTCGACAATTTGTCGTATACCAAATTTAGTAAATGACTACATGTTGATGGCGACATGACTTGACAACACTTCCCATTTTTTTTTATAGAGTATACTTCAATTGATCTTCTCCAAGTGTTTTAGGATCCTTCGACAGCAGTGATGTGATTCTTTTTCTATTCTACTCACTTTCTTTCTGTAGGCGAGTGCAATTCCTCACTGGGCTGGATCAGATCATCAGACTGCCTACGCGAGGGGCAAGAGTGGTAAACAAAAAAAATACTATATATACCAGCTGCACTCGTTTGGAATTTTCATTCTTCACACAGAACACACAGCCATATATAAATTCAAGATGGTAAAGATCGGAATCAACGGATTCGGCCGTATTGGTCGCCTTGTGCTTCGCGCTGCGCTTAAGCACAGTGAAGTTGAGGTTGTTGGTGTAAACGATCCCTTCATCCCTCTGGACTACATGCGCTATATGTTTATGTACGATTCCACTCACGGAGTCTTCCCTGGCACCGTTGAGATCAAGGACGGTAAGCTTGTTGTTGACGGCAGTGCCATCACCGTGTTCGACAAGCGTGACCCCGCCGACATCGACTGGGCCTCGTGTGGCGCTGAGTACGTTGTTGAGTCTACTGGTGTGTTTACCTCACTTGAGGGTGCCGGTAAGCACATGAAGGGAGGTGCCAAGAAGGTTATCATCTCCGCTCCCTCTGGTGACGCCCCCATGTTCGTAATGGGAGTGAACCACAAGGAGTACAAGAGCAGCATGGACATTGTATCCAACGCCTCATGCACAACCAACTGCTTGGCACCCCTAGCCAAGGTCATCCACGACAACTACGGAATTGTCGATGGTCTTATGACTACCGTACACTCATACACCGCCACCCAGAAGACCGTTGACGGTCCATCCATGAAGGACTGGCGTGGTGGTCGTGGTGCCGCCCAGAATATTATCCCCTCATCCACTGGGGCTGCTAAGGCTGTTGGTAAGGTCATCCCCGACTTGAACGGAAAGCTTACAGGTATGTCCATGCGTGTACCAACCGCTGATGTGTCTGTGGTCGATCTTACTGTCAACCTGAAGAAGGGAGCTTCCCTTGCGGACATCAAGAAGACCGTCAAGGCTGCCGCTGAGGGCGAGCTCAAGGGTGTGCTTGGATATACCGAGGATGCTGTTGTCTCAATGGACTTCCGTGGTGATGAGAGATCGTCTATCTTTGATGCCGATGCCTGCATTGCGCTTACAGATACATTCGTGAAGCTCATCTCATGGTACGATAACGAGTGGGGGTACTCTCATCGTGTCGTCGACCTACTTGTCCACATGACTAAGCAGTAAATGTGCATTCAGAGGCAGTGATTTGCGAATAGCAAGCTGTCAGTATATATAGCCAGCATTCGAAAGATGGCACGCACCAAATAAAAAAACTTAAGTATGTCTATGGCAGTAGTCTTATCTGAGCTTCTGTTCGCGCGTGTGTTTGAAGTGTAGTATTTGAGATTGGAAGGACTTTTACCCTAAACCCTAAAAGAACCAGTACGCTGAGTTTAATGTTTCAGATCTTGTAGAAGCACTTGATCCTATACAGATACCCCGTCGCTAGTATAAAGCACAGTATCTTGAACAGCACGTACAGCAACTGACTGTACTCTCCCGATATGTTGGCCAGCACATTATCCCGTAACCAAGTAAGCACCGTCAACCGTTGTGTGGTATAGTCTATCGGGTTAGGACCGGTATTGATGTATATGGAGTGCAAGATAGCTTCCGCCACACCGTGTACTACGAATACGAATATGGCATTCATCCCCAGGTACTGCAGAGGTGCCAGATATCTCCGGCTTGTTTGCTGTAGGGCATGAGGCGTGTCTACAAGCACATATAGGCACGCGAAGATCAGTCCGCATACCCCGGCAGTGGTTAGCATGTAGCTTAGACTATACAGTTGTTTGTTAAACAGGATGACATGGGCGTGGTGTAACGCTAACCCGGTTAGGGTTAGAAATACTGAGAGCACGCCCCAATGCTTGACGCAGTCGCGTGATCCGCTGAGAATTGAATGAAGGAGTGCAAAATAAATGGTGGTAAGTGGTTGTAATTTGGAATTGCAATGCGATAATGATATAGCAGGTGTGTTAAGTCAAGCATGTTCAAAACACTAAATGCTTGTATCGACGTATAAATGCATGCATATGTACATATAGACGACGGAAATACATATGTACATGAATACATACATACATATATACATACACACATATACATACATACATACATTACATACGTACATACAAAATGACTCACGTATAAACTTATATATATAGATATATATATAAATATATATATA